TGCTCAGGAGGACACAAGCTTTCAGTGCTCAAACCCATTTCTAAACGGCTTCATTCTCATCATAGTTCAGTTATTTTACATGCTGAAGATTAAGCAATGGATGTTTACCCTGAGCTACATTTTTATTTTGCAACCCTAGAAACGTAATTGTAAATGCCATTTTTATTACTCTAGTCTCCATTAAACAAACTTGAGCAGAGGGGGACGAGGAAGAAAATAAAAAGAAATCTTATATTTATGGTCTTGTAAGTACTTGTATGTTTAGCTACTTATCAAGCATTCAGGCAATTCTGTCCTCTCATTAGCAAGAGTGAAATTTAAGATGTACTTTGCTTCTTGAGAGGGCTGTAAGTCCACTTTCTCTCTTACTATTTCAACTTTGGTACTGCTACACTTTACTTTAGTCTGTAATGCACCCAGCCTAACTGGAATTTTTGTAACACAACTCCTGATAAATTTAAAAGTTGTAGTGACCAAAGTCGCTTTAATATATCTTTTCATGTCGTTAGAAGGAATACAAGGGCAGACATCAGTTACCACGTATTTTCAGAATTTCCTCTCTCTACATTTGAATTGGACAACCAAGAATTTAATAATTAAATAATCAGCTAGAACAGGAAATCACTAGTAAAATAAAGTTAATTTGGCATGCAGTTCACAGCAGATGCATCTGTGTAAACTGCAATTCAAAATTATCTACATGTAATGAAAAAAACATCTTAGCTGACCAAAATCTGCCAAAAATCAAACTTCTATAAAAAGCTGGGGGGGGGGGGGGGGGGGAAAAAAAACGGGGGGGGGGGGGGGGGAAGGAAAACGGAAAGGAAGTTCCAATGACAGCGTTTCCTAAGACCCTGATTCACTTAAAAGCTTAACTGCTTTTCCTGTGTTAAGTGAAAAGTTTGCCATGATGGAAACAGTCAGAGAAACAAAAATAAAATACCTAAAAATGTGCAACATAACACTCTCATTTAATCCAATTTACTAATGCAACCCAGAAAAACATTTCAGCTATGATATTAGGGCCTGAGTCCTTCATATGAGTAACTGCAACTTCACTCAAGTTACAGGCTCAAAATTTTTAAAATTATTTTTTGCTTAACCGCATGCAGTGTAAGACCTGACAGCTGCCAGATCGCTTGGAATGCAGATATCCTTTCTGAAACTTACCTTTTACATCAGCAGCTTTGAAGTACATTTAGCATTTAGAAAAGCAGTCAACACTGCAGCTGATAAAAGACAGCCCAGTAATATCCTATTATTTCTCTTTAAGGGACATTAGAATTATCCAGGGCTAGAAGGTTGATCAGGAAAGCATCTGTTCACACGACAGATATACATGGTACTGCTGGCAGTATAAGCCATCATTATTTTGATAATTCAGGAATTTCTGAACACCAAAATTAAGTGCGTAAATTAAAATTGCTTTTATAAACCAAACCTTACCCACATGCAGGCCTCCAGCCTGACTTTTGAGATGATAGCCCATAAAGAGATGGATCCTTCCGTCGTCTCCTCATCAGGGCAGATAATTTGATCCGGGTAAGGAGGCTCAGGAAAATTTACCGAGTTACATTCATAAGCAGCAAGAGTAACTGATGCTATGTGTGGACCCTGAAAAAACACAAGTAATTTCAAATGCATTTTATGTTAGTTATAATGAAAGTTAAAATTAAACCCCTACATTTGCCCCTGATGCAAGGAGCCTAGGCTAAAACTTAGTGTTTCTCACTTTGGCCATTAATAATCTTATATATGTAAAACATCGGTTGTTGTTTGTTTGTTTGTTTTAGACCATCTGAAGTGCAATGTTGAGCTATTAATGCTCTTTCAACAACAACAAAAAAATCCTTCTTTTGATCCACTAAAAATGTTAAGGAGTCTTTCAGCTTTTGCCATGCCATTGCACAGTAGTATGAGGTTGCCAAGGAGAAATAAGAATCCTTCTTAAAAACCAGGAAAATTTTCAGACCTTTAAAATGTTCTCCTTAAGGTTTTTCGGGCCTACAGCTTTATTACAGCAGGTGTTTTCCCTACTGTTGCTTTTAGACGATCTAGGCATTTAGATTCTATGTTAATTTATTTTTTTTTTAATGACTAGGACTTTACATCTTACAGCGAATCTTCTTAACTTTTGGATCCTTCTCCAAAAAATCAGTTGCTTAATTTGCGTCACTTTTTCTGTGTTTACAAGAAAGTGATCTTACTGCTGTTTGCTAAAAATGGTTTGAAATATAATTCAAAATTTAAACATAATTTAAATGCCATATAATTCCATTACTTCTAGTCTCCATCTTACATTTAAAGATTTTTTTGGACAGACCTCCAAATAAAACTAGCATAAAAATCTATTCAAGAATTGAACTGCTACATACTTAAAAAAACCTGAAAGAATCGCCATTATTTTAATACAAAAGAAGTGAGAAGCAATTCAAATAGTCAATGGCCTGAACACTAGATGTTGTAGCTAAAAAAGAAATCACTTAGCAAAAGGTCAGGGAAACATTGTCTGGGGAAGAAGAAGAAAAACAAAAAAAGTACCGAGTTAAACTAAGGTCTTTTCATAAAGTCACAGATTTAAATAAATTTTAAAGTTTTCTTTACATGAGAACAAATGACACAAACCTTAACTTCTGCTCTGAATTATTTAATGGGTTTTGATGTCATGTGGAGAAACGTACTGTCAACAATTTTCTTCTATGTTTTTTCCTTTAAATGAGTCATGGTTTATTAGACAAATATGGGAGCCTGATACCCCCCACCCAAATCAAAGCTAAATTTATTACAGAATACTGCGGGGAAAGCGTGATAGACCTCAGCCCTGCCATTCCCCTGCACAAGGCTTCCACAGCTCACTTTGAAATGCAGGAGCCTGAGATTTATTCAGAGGACCTTGTGGGCTTCATTTGCACATGAAAAGGTGAAATTCCACAGCAGGTCTCTCACAAAAGGTGAAGCTCCGTTGCTTTTCTAGACTTGCTGGGAAGAAGATTTTAGTTGGGTTCACTCAGGTCAACATTTCAGGTCCCACTGAAGAGACCAGAGAACCGGACTTATGCAATGACATTGATACTGTACTTTTTAATGGCAGTGAAATAAGAATGTTGAAAAACATAGCAGTTATATTTTTCTGTAGGACAGCTGTGACTACTGTCGTCATATGGAAACAATTCAAAATCAAACCACTCTTCAGGTATGCAATTGGTAAAAGACAAGCTGCTCTGATACCAAGGAAATTCTTTTATTTCTTCCCTTGTTACTTTGCAGGAGACTAATTCAAAGTGCTTTGGCACACTTTGGGTTATACAAACAGATACAGCCATACAGCCCCTCTCACAGAAAAAAAAAAAGAAGAAGAGGGGGAAGAAAAGAAAAAAAAGGTTGATTGAAGTAAAAGAGAAAAAAGAGAAGATCCAGAAGTTGACACTCAAGAGTGATTTTGATATGGCAGGGAGAAAAAAGATCAGATGAATGAACAAATGACTAATAAGGTATATTATCAACATTTCTGTAGGCCCCGACGGCAATGGACAACTTTTTGGTACTTGTAGCAAGATCATCCCCATCCCCAGCAACTTCATGTCTAAACAAATAGTGTATCTCTATTTTACTCATCAAGGGCAGATGCAACGAGAGAGTTGAAACTTTCCTAAACTTGTAAAGTACATTTATGGCAAACCTGGGAACCTCTTTCTCCGCCATACTCAGAAGCTTAGGGAATTTAATCCCATCCCCTGCTTGCTCCTCCCCAATCTGACAGCTACCTTGGGACAAAAAAAGTCTCAAGCCATCTTCCTTAAATTAATGCTTTTCACCTGCAGAAATTTGCAATAAAATTCTCTTGAATAGCAAATTTGCATGAAGGAAATCCCCATGCACTTGAGTTGTAAATGACCATTTCCTACGTTCCCTTGAGAGTAATGGTAAGGTAGTTGCCAAGGCAGTGAGATATGGTGTGTGAATCAAGAAGTATGATTTTCAGTTCCACAAAATTTGGAGGACATGCCACACTACAGTATAACTACAGCCAGCTGTGATGGGAGACTGTTAGTTTCAGTTTTATAATAGTAAGAGACAAATTTAATCGCTGCTATAGTGAGGCCCCCGCAACCCCTTGCAAGGTTTCAGTGATAGAATTACCAGTGTTTCTTCTCAAACTGCGCACAAGGTGTGTAAAAAAGACCGCACAATCTCAGGAGAGCAAGCAATGACAAAATGCCTGAGAGGAGGCTGCTGCAGGACCTTCTTGCCATGAGCAGCTTCTCTCAACCGAGTTGCCATCCTTGGAACGGTTCAAAACAGTGTCAAAGCATTGCCTCCTGTTAAGAGAGCTCTCCCAGTCTCAAGAAATGTCTGCAAAAGGAAAAATTTTACAAGAAGTAGCCAATGGAAAAAAAGGCATTTCACAAAGCAGCTGTAAACGGCCAGCGAGCCACCTGAAGACTACGCCAATTGAACATAATTCTTCCACTGTAATGTAAACAATTCTATAATGGAAAAAAGTTGGAGTTATGGAACCCACAGAAGCCACATTTTAACTGGAATAAGAAATAAAGCATAAACGGTTCATTTAGAGTGATGAAGTGTGGAGTACTGGAACTCAGAGCGAGCCAAAGGAAAGCAGAACAATCCCGTGTCCTCCTCTGGCAGCAAAGCCCAGCTGTCCTGCTAGTCAAATGGACAACGTCTCACAGCTTGGCAGGCTGCACCCAACATCTCTGACATCTGCTTTTGTTCTAGCTCAGCTCTGAAAGCTTACATAGAGCATTATACTTTCACAAAGCCGTGGTTACCAAGCACCTCAAAACAATGGTTGGCTAAGCAGGACCATGGTTGCAACGGGGGTGGGAGGGGTGGGGAAGAGGGGGAGGGACCCGGGGGGTTTCATAAGAGAGGTGCCATTTTGCTTTATATTTAGCAATAGTGACGGTTTAACTCTGAATGAGCAGAGAACCAACTTCAAACGAGCTTTAGGTGCCACCTTTGGAAAATCCCAGTCAATATACACTCAGATGTTTTCTTTATACTCCTCCCTGTGCCAGAAGGATTAATTCTCATAGTTTTTAATCCTCTTCACAAATAATACCTCCTCCACCCTCTCCGCGTGGGGCCGCAGTAAATACTAAGTGTTTTGCCTCTCTGCAATAGCTCAGTTTATTTCAACGCTTGAGGAAAACCTCTAAGACATTCCCTCTTTTGACTCTAACTGCAGCTCTACCTTTGAAACGGGCATTTGCCAAACTGTCCTACCAGAAAACAAATACTAAAACCAGGCCATTTAGTAGATAATGCTGCTTGCCAACCCAGGAAGAGTCGCCGACATTCAAGGCATGTAAGATCCTGAACACCAACCGTCTTTCCCTCACCCTCTTCCAATGGTTTGGTTTGTTGGTTTTTGTTTTTTGGGTTTTTTTTTTTTTCTTCTTTTAAATTGCAGGAGGCACTAACAAGGGCTAACAGAGCAGAAATTGAGAAACATTCTGCTGACTCGGGTGAGAAACATTTGCTTGCCACTACTGACGACCAGAAGGAGCCTGTGGTTGGGCTGGAATGCGATTTGTTAGAAATATCTGTACAATTTACAAATCAAAGACGACAAGATCCGGTCATCAAGATCAACTCAACATAAATTTATTTTTTTAGCAATAGTAATTTAGGGGAGTTTGGAAATTCCTAGCTATAGAATCCTAATGTCTCATAGAAGGTAACCTCGAACTCTTGAACTCACAGGCCTTCAGAGAAGTTTTAGTTCAGTGATTGAAGGCACCCAAGTTAGAAGAGACACTGCTGATCCTTAGAAATAAGTTACTTTAAAATGCTGTATTATGAAATTTCTAGAAAGTATAATCTTTTTATCTAGAAGTTATGCTTGGAAATTCATCAGTGCGAGTCGAAAGAGACAGCAGGCACATAAAAAAAAAAAAATTCAAGAAGTTCAAATCCTTAAAAGCACGCTGATACGTATAATACTTAAAACAGAAAAGTCTTTACCATAAGGAAAAATGACTGAATATCCAATTAAAAGTGAATCATATTTTCACATTAATCATTCTGGGCACCTAGACTGTGAACACAATTAAAGCTGCAAACAAACTCCATATCAAATGTTGGTTTCTCACATGCCCCTTCACGGACACAGCCACCCTGCTGAAGTGACACGAGCACAGGAACATCTACATCTAATTTTAACCTTTTATATTTGGGGAAGACATAATTTTAGACTGTCTCTAATTTAGAAACATTTCACAAAGAAAAGTGATATGCCTGCCAGCAAGAAAAATATTACAGTGAACTCATTGCTGAACTTAATGCACTAAAAATCTGTTTTCCTCCATGGATACACTGCTGTTCATACTGGGTTCAAGACTCAGCCCTTCCACAGGGGGGAAACATGTCATGCTATATTTGATTAAGATAAATTGGAAAAACAAAAGCTTGCTTCTCATGGGAAACATCCTGCAAGCGTTGCCCCAGGCTGCGACTCATCTCATACTTATCTATGAAGTCATTACACCTCTCAAGAAAGTAACACTGAGTTACAGCATCTTTTTTATCTTCAAGAGCAGTGGACAACTACCCCCAAAGAAAACTGCTCTGTGATTAAGAGGGAAAAG